CACAAACCTAAGGGTGCTAAGCACAATTATGCACAATCCTTACACTACAAAAAATAGTGCATTTAGCGTCGGTTTTTTTTAGTGTTTTGGTGGCGGTTATCAAAACCGAAACTAAATCAACTTTGGCCGCGTTTTTTTGCTTTCGGTTCTCAACCGCGAGAGAATCTGGTTGTTTTACTGTCGGTTTGATTTGGCATCAGCAATAACCGCCACTATCACTCTTGTTTTGCTGTCGGTTTATATTGGCGTCTGTTAAAACCGCCACCAAATCAAAATTTACTTTTTTAATTTCAACTCTTAAATTTTGGGGATCCCGCCTAGAGTTCCCTCCAAATGAAATTTCCCTTCCGCCCTTTACATATTCTCTCGACCTTCCCCTTAAATTAAAGAAAACTAACAAAATAAAAGCAATGGCCAAAATTCCAAAACCCTAGCCGCTATTATAAAATGAAAATTCCCTTTTCCTACCCTCATCTGCCGTCCAACAACTCTCCTCTCTCTTCCATTCTTGATCTCTCACTACGCCTCTTCTTCCTCTAGAAACAAACAACAAAAGCAGAGATCCTGCTTCTCCATCATCCATCTCTCAATTTCTCTCGTCCTCTCTCAATCAAGAATAAATCAAATAACAACCTGCTTTCCATTAGTTCATTGCCCCTGCCAGATCCAAACCTTCTTCACATGACAGTGACGCTGATAACAACAATCACAGCCCGGTTAAAGGTAAGATCTGGTCTGCATGTATGATTCTTTTCTATTTTGTGGTTTAAAATAAGATTCTGACCCATTTTTGCGTCTCTAGGCTTTGGTTGCGGAACAAAGGAGAAGGATCATCGGTGACTCATCTTGCCGGCGCAGATCTAACTAGGAGAATTTGGAGGGACGATGAGATATGGTCAGTCAAAGCTCCAGCGGAGGCAGGGGAGGGACGAGCCAACAAAGGAAGGGGGAGGTCGAGGTTTTTCTGGTTTGTGGGTGTCTGGAAATTTTTGGGTTTGTTGATTTTTAGGTTTGCGACGGCAGATAGAAGGATGCGCCGGCGGAGGCAAGGGGAGGGATGCATTTGTGCGTTTGCGATGGCAGAGGCATGGATTGGTCGACTGAGGCATGGGGAGACTTGGGTTTTTGGGTTTTGTGGGGATTTCCTGGGGATTTTGGGTATTTAGGTTTCTAGGTTTGTGACGACAGGCAGCTAGGGGTGCGCCGGCGGAGGCAGGGGAATGGATGGGGTTGTGGGTCTGCGTCGACAAAGCTTTTTTTTTAAAAAAAATCATATACTTTAGTGGCGGTTTTCACCGCAAGTAAAGAGATTGTTTTTTATGTAATAAAAAATTCATATACTTTAGGGCCGGTTTAAACCGCAAGTAAAGCGCTCAATTTTTTTTTTAACAGAGCAATTAATTTTTTGGTGTCGGTTGTAGTATGATTTTGTCTTGCTTTAAACCGACGCAATAGTTTGTGGTTTGACGTCGGTCATTCCATCGGTTGCCTAAAACCGACGCTAAAGGTGAAAGTGTCGCCTGATTCCCTGTCGGTTTTAAAACCGCCACCGGTTGGTTTAGTGTTGGTTTTAACCGCCACTAAAGTTGAAAAAAACCGACACTAAATGCACAGTTTCTTGTAGTGTTAGGTTGCTAAGCACCACAATGCACAAACCTAAGGATGCTAAGCACAAAACATGCACAACCCTTAGATTGCTAAACACGAGCATGCACAATCGACATGAATAATACCTCAATCCTTAAATTAGACACTACCCAATGACAATCATTCCATCTAAACAAGTAATTACAAAGTAATATTTAGGGATATACAACACCAAATAGAAAAGAGGGAGTTTCAAGAGAGAGAGAGAGAAACGGATTACAAATTTGAGCTCAAGATCTTCTTCTTCTAGGCTTAAATCTTCCACCTAAGCCTCCAATGATGCTCCAAGATCACTCTAGCACACACTCTCTATCACTAGAACTCCCCTTTGGTGTTTAGGTTGAAACCCTATAGAAAGAAAGTGCTTCTTCTCCAAAAACCAGCTCTCTTTTCTCTCTCCCCGCTGCTGTCTTCATATTTGCCCGAAAGTGACCAGTTCACGGACGCATTGGCCAGCTCACGGCCGTGAACACCTAAACACGTCCATGAACTCAGCGTCATCCAAAACGCACTGCTTGACTGTCCTGGGTTCACAGTCAATGGCCACAGTTCACGGTCTTAGAGACCGTGAATTGCCTCATCGTCAGTAACTTCAGGAACCTCGATGGACGCCTCGCTGTTCTCGGTTTTTGGTTGAAGTTCACGGTCTTAGAAGACCGTGAACTGCCTCGTCTGGCCGTGAACTACGCTTGTTTCTGGGGACGCCTTCAATTCACTACTACGACTTTCTTCGGTTTTTGCGCTTTTTGACCTCCAAATATCCCAAAACTCGTCATCCCCCCTTCCACACGTGCTATGACATGAAATGTATCAAAACAAGCACAACCTAGCTTGAAATATGTCGAGGAACGATGTGTACATCTGGGCCTGAATCAGCAGTTTACTGTCGTGACAATTGAGCTCTAACTGTGACATCGGACCAAAACACAAGTCAATGGTGTCGTTTTGTCCAACATCACGGTCACTGGCTAATTGCCACGGTTAGGCGATCGCGAACACATGCATTTAGGCCCGCGAGAAGTGAGAAACCCTCGTGTTTCCAGCTGACTTCACGCCCTATGGTAAATTGTCACGGTCAGGAAAACTGTGATAATTTCCTCCAAACCGTGACATGTGACTTTTCTTCACTTTTTGGCGCTTTTCGACCCTTACACATGTGCTAGGACCTGAAATGTATAAAAAATAACACAATCTAGCGAAAAATAGGTCCAGAGACGATGAAATGCAAAGTCAAACTATCAAGAAATAAGGGTAAAATGTGTACAATTAGACCTGAATCACACGACGTTTGCTTGTCCCCAAGCAAACCAATATCAAACATGATAATATTTCAACCTAACAACAATAACTTGGGGACATATCAAAGGGCATACAATGGATGAATCTCAATGTTTATTTGGCATCAACACATGAACAATTACAAGCAATACCGGCATCCACCACAAACGACATTCGAATGCATTAAGAACGTGCAAACGAAAAGTTCTCTCTCTGTTTACAAATCAATACAAGTCTCGACAGGAATACTCATCAACCACAACTCACCATGCATAGAGTTCAAGTCCAAGGAACAAACGAATAAGTGAACTAGGTCCTTATCGAGATAAGATATGAACATGCTGAATGTGAATGAATCACTCACTCTCGACCAGTGGGAAAAGAACACATCTGTTATTATTCAACCTTTTGTGGAATCTTATATTCTCATAACTAGATGCACTTCCTCTTGGTAATCGAGAGAGAGGGATAAATCTCTATCATAATGGAAAAAAAAATCTTAAAAAGTATGCTCGGTTGGAGCTAAAAGATTTCCAGCAAAGGGGAAGGAAAATTGACCGTTGAAAGGTTAAGAGAAAATAGATTAGAAAGAGAGACATTTTTTCCCTCTGCCCTTTCTTATAGGTCCTTCAATGTTTTTTTCTTTTATGACTATAGAATGGCTAAATGGCAAGTTTGGTCACTTGAATTACTAGTAAAATTCACGTTAGCCATTAGAATTACTTTATTCCATTCGTAGTCACTTAAATTAGGTTAACAGCTCAAGTTTGGTCACTGGCCGTTAGTCTCCGTTAACTTTTGCTGATGTGGCGGTCAACTATAATAATTGACAGTTAAATGAGTGACGTGGCAATTAAAAAATTAATAAAAAATAAAATTTTACCTTTTCTTATTTCCAACCCATTTTACACCCATTGACAAACAAAAAATAATAATAATGTCCTATCAACACCTACACACACCACTTCTTCCATCACCTACGCCGCCGAGTTCTCCGGCATTCTGAGGTGCGCCGCTGTCGCTGCTACCCTACCACTCTCATCCACTCAACCAACCAGATCCTCTCCTCTCCTCCGCCTATCCACTTCCTTCTCCTGCGGAGATGACTTGCCCCCGCTTTCATCTACTCGATCTTCCTCCTCCTCTGTTGCGCCGCCGCCGCAGCCTTCGTAGAAGACTCCAATCCCATCCGGATGTTCCCCGATCGTCTCAGCGGTTTGGAAGCTAATGTAGTCAACGCCGTCGGGAACATTCGCGGGGCTCTTAAATTCACCCGTTTTGCTCACAGGTATGGCATCCAACTCTTTTGTATAGTATAAGTAACTGCGATGGTGGCGATACCTCTCTCTTTTGTTGGTAAAATTAATATTTACAGTGGGCCTGTATAGCCCATAATCAAGATTAGCAGCCGTGAAATCCAATCAACACTCGACACGGATACGGCCAATAATTAAACAATCAATTAGAAATCTGACGATCGATACAGGAAGTAAGTTATATATAAAAAAAGAACAAATTCAAAATCCGCTGAGTTTCGCTTCGTCATCCTGCTTCCACACGCTAGCAAGGGGCAGCTGCTAATAATGCTATAGACGTTGATGGCGTCGGAGCATCGCCGTTGGCACCTCAGAATGCCGGAGAACTCGGCGGCGAAGGTGATGGAAGAAGTGGTGTGGGTCAAGTTGAACGGACATTACTTTTTTTTGTTGTGTATGGGTGTAAAAATGAGTTGGAAATTAGAAAAGTTTAAATTTTATTTTTTATTAATTTTTTAATTGCCACGTCACTTATTTAACGGTCAACTGTTAGAGTTGACCGCCACATCAGAAAAGTTAACGGAGACTAATGGCTAGTGACCAAACTTGAACTGTTAACCTAATTTAAGTGACTACGAATGGAATAAAGTAATTGTAGTGGCTAACGTGAATTTTACTAATAATTCAAGTGACCAAACTTGTCTTTTGGCCCTATAGAATGACATGAATTTGAAATTTTAATGGTAAGTTTAGAAAGACGACAAATGGAATTACGTTAAACAAATAGGTGGGTTGGCAGATGATGATTTTGGGAGTTCCGTTCTCTCCAATCTCCAGGCATTTTCCAACAAGTTCCAATAAACAAACACGAAAATGAGAACTTCCAAGTCGAGGAAGTCAAGTGATGGACTCAAGTACCCTTTGTTTCCTCGTCCTCGTGCTTCTCCTCTGAAACCTGAAGAATTCCGATTCCTCCTCCATTTCAGCAAATCTGAATCAAGGAGAATTTTGTTTCCATAAATAGTTATGTGCAGGAATGAATGTGTAGCAATTCTGGGTATGAAATGAAGCTGAAATTGTGCCGCTTGAGTTGCTTCTTCTCTCCTGAATTGCGACCCACCACCACCAGGACCGGTGAGAAACTTTATGCGGCTCCAATTCCCGATTAACGGTTCGTTTCCGAGCTCAATTCAACTGTTTGGCTGTCTGTTTATTTCCAGTCGAGGAAGGAAACTTGAGGATTTTCAGTCTGCACGAACTGAAACGGGCAACTCAAAACTTCTCTTCTGCAAACAAGGTTGGGGAAGGGGGCTTTGGCTCAGTTTACAAGGTAACACAATTCTCTCATGTTTTACTCTCGTTTCAGTGTGTTTTGGGTCATCTATTGGTCCCTGGGGCTTACTGTTTGGTTTGACTTCCTACACGGGTGAAAAAGGGTCGGCTCCAAGATGGTTCAATGGTGGCTGTGAAAGTTCTTTCGGTAGAGATGGAATCGATGCGTGGGGAGAGAGAGTTCATTTCTGAACTGGCCGCACTTTCCAACCTCAGACATGACAACCTCGTCATTCTCCACGGATGTTGTGTAGAAGGGTCGGATCGATATTTGGTCTATGAGTATATGGAGAACAACAGTCTTGCACATACATTGCTCGGTAAATTCCCTCAATGAGTTGCCAAGAGAAGAAGTTTATGTCTTTTGGCTCTAAAGCATCCAATTAGTCGGTGAATGAAGAAATCTCAATGTGGGTTTTCTGTTTTCTCCCTTTGTTTTCCCCTACTTAGGCAACGACCAGAACAGGATGAAATTCAGCTGGGAAGCCAGGCGGCATGTTTCAATTGGGGTTGCTCGTGGGATTGCTTATCTTCACGAAGAGGTGAAGCCTCATGTGTTGCACAGAGATATTAAAGCAAGCAATATACTACTGGATGATAATTTTACACCCAAAGTTTCAGATTTTGGCCTCTCTAGAATTCTTAGAGACAACAGTTCCTACGTCAGTACAAGAGTTGCTGGAACTTTGTAAGTGTGAAAATGGGATCACATTAAAATTTCTTGCCAAACTTATTACATTGATGGTTAGGGAATGAGCTGAACTTTTACTCTACTATTTGCAATAAGGGGTTATCTTGCTCCGGAGTATGCTGTCAGCGGCCACTTGACACGAAAATCAGATGTTTATGGCTATGGGGTTTTGCTCATGGAGATTATAAGCGGCAGATCAGTTGTGGATTTTGATATTGAACTTGGAGAGCATTACCTGGTTCAAATGGTAGGATAAATTATTTTCAACGATGAATGTATCTATTACACAGGGCAGCAGCCTTCTTATTTTGGGAGTTGAATGCAATATATGCAGGCATGGAGCACTTACAGAGCAAAGAAGCTTCTACAGATAGTAGATCCTGCTCTGAACATGAACTATTCAGAAGAAGAAGCTCTACGATTCTTGAAAATAAGCCTTCTGTGCGTGCAAGAAACCGCAAAGCGCCGGCCGATGATGTCAACAGTGGTTGAGATGTTGAGGAATGAAATCGAATTGGAAAGTTATGAGATATCTGAACCTGGGCACCTCAGTGATCTAATGGGGATTAGATTGCACAAAAGGTACACATCTCAGACTAGTTCTTCAAGGAGCACTACCACCACAAGCCTGCAAAGTACTGCACATTTCTGACTTGTGAGTTTTTGTTAAAGCAAGTGTGGAAATAGTGGACAGGTTTGTCCGGTTTCCTTAGGTCCTAACAAGAGGCATACAAGTTATAGAAAGATGATTGATTTCTGTTTTCTCAGGAGCATTCTGTTTTTCAGATGTGTAAAACTGTGTCATTTATTAAATAAATAAAATACTTCAAGCAGTAAAAACGCTTCCTTTGGCAAGAATAAAGGAGCTGCTGCAGACAGGAAAGAAGAAAAAGAAACTCTTGGGTGGAACTTGAGGAATGGTTGGGATTTGGGAGGCTAATATGGATCTACTCTTTAGAGGCCCTACCCTGATTCTGAAGCTGACCAATCAAAAATTGGAAGAAACGAAGAAGAAATGATAAAAACAGAACTTTGAAGGAGACTCCTTGTAGTAAACTTGAATGAGAGTGGGAATGTGGGATATGCATGGTAGTTGAAAAGGGTGAAAAACTCAACAAGGTCAAGACCAAGGAGTCGAGTTTTGAACTTGAAAACTAGATTTAAACTAGAATCAATACCCGCGCCTATGCCGCGAGAACTAAATTTGCTATATCATGATCATATGGTGAGTAGTTTAATTGATGGCAAAGTGGGTTCGTTAAAATATTGTCTGTGGTCTGGATTTCGGAGTAATAGAAATTTGGTTGGCAGACCTACAACAAATAATTATCTTAATAATAGATATGGTTTCTATCATTGATGAACAAAATTCATGTCTACTTGGAGACATATGGTTTCTATTATTGATGAACAAAATTCCGATCTACTTGGAGTTGTTGAATTTCTTTTCTACTGCAGTCTCTCTTTCTATTGGATAACATGTATGGGATTTTTGGGGAATCAGATTTCACGTGCTAAAATTGGAGTACTTGATTATTATCCTGGGAGAAGTATGAAGATTGTGATGTATGGGACACATGATGAAGCTAATGTTGCAGTCAGCTTAGTTCAAGGCTCCATCTACTTGCTCGATGATTGCATCCCGTCGCTTCTTTCTATTATACTAATTAGCCGCTTCAGCTACCACTTCTTTTACTCCTGTCAGCTGAAGTTTTGGAGCACCGTAAATGAAGCAATGATGCAACCATTCTCAAAGCATCAAAGGTTCTTAGCATAGAGATATTGTTAGTGCATATATGCAGAGAGATACCTTGGTCCTTGGTGGGATTGACTCAATCCGAGGAAATGCTTCATTCCTGCTTTCGTTGGGACATGAGAGTACCACTTTTCTTGTGAAGGTATGAGCGGTATCTATTATTGGTCGAATCAAATTCTTGTCCAACATCGGTAATTAATTCTCGGACACCTTCGTTGAAATACTAACACACTAAAGAATCATGAATGGTAATTTCTTGGCTTCCTTTCAGTGGCAAGAGTCTATGTTGTACACGATATTGATTGATTCAAATTTCATTTATAATATGTATACCAAAATCCATCATTTCTTTGAACAGTTTGGCAATCCCCCCATAGTTGGGGGCGCTTCCAAATCATGTATTCAGGCATCTTAATACCATGGCACTGCTGCAATTGGGTTTACTCTTTTAGGTTCTGGCTATAACGCCATAGAGTAAAGAGTTACACCACTTCCACACAAAAAAAAGTCACTCTACCTCCCATTGATTCCATCATTCCATTGTTGCATTTCACTTGAAATGCAGAGCTTCTTTAGGCTTTTCCCAAGAGAGACAGCACTGTCGCAGTGATTTGCTTCGATGACAGTCGCGCTTCTTGAATCCGATCTTGAGGTGATCCACACTCAATGTACCTATCTGGAAGCACCATTGCTCGCAACTGCATTAATACAAACCCATAGTAAAAAAATAGAACAAAAAAAAAAACTAAGAATGAAATGGGATCAGTGAAAATGTTAGCTAATTACATAAAGGGATCTATCTAGAATCCCACTCAAGCTCATGAATAAAACGCATATGACCCAACCCATCAATCAAACCTTCTCCCACAGTAATCAGAATCTCATCGCGTCAACTCCCTCATAAGCTCAGTGTCTAAAGGCTTGCAGAACCTCGCGTCAACTACCGTTACATGAATATCTATGCGCTTTAGCATCCCTCCAGCTTCAACACACAGTTGCACTATAGCTCTATCACCCAATATAGCAATTATAGTTCCTTCCTAACTACCCTTCCTTTGCCAACCTTGAGTGGAGTTCCTTAGTTGTTGAGTAGGAGAACTACTGCAATTTTTTTCCCTGCTGGAAACCTGAAGCAGCTCACCTTATTGCCCTGTTGCAACCTTGTGATCATCTCAGCTTCGTCCATTGGTGTTATAACCACCAAGTTTGGCAAACAGGCCATGTAGGCAATGTAGAATGCTCAACAGAGAGTTGGTCCATCCACCTCAACCAAACCAGCTCTGTCCATAGCGAAACAGCCAGGTAGCTTCTGAAGATCGACATCATGTACTACCTGCATTTTTTAAATGGACCAGTTTGTTACAACATGAGTAGTATTTTGTAAGTTGAAAAATCCTAGTTGTTGTAGATTTTTACCTGATCATATCTTTTTTTTAGGAAAGATGAGTAGATGGCACGGAATGGCTTGAGACATTCAGGAGAAAACCCAGCTGCAAAGGTGATAACATGTTGCTCAGTGATCCCCACGTCAAAGCATCAATTGGGAACTTATTCTGGAAATAGTTGAGACCAGTCCCACCACCCATTAGCATGAATAGCTAATATCTTGTTGTCTGCCTTAGCTTCTCTGACAAATGATTTAGCAAAGTATCGATTGTATGAAAGGTAGAGGATTTCGGCTTGAATTGCTGCCCCGTTTTCACATTAAACTTCACCACTCCTGGATCAAAATAGATCCTGAAGGGCTAGGGAGATAGCAGCTACTACGAACAACCTCAACCTTGCACCAATGCCTTCCAGTCCACCTACTTAAAAATTCACTTCAGCTCGCACCAAAGCAGAAAACCATAAGCCGAAGTAACAAATAATCTTTAAAAATCAATCCATCGGCCTTTTTAGAGCAGAACACCACCCTTCATCCCATGATCCACAAAACCATTAGAGTACGAAGGCATAAGTTTAAGAGGCTGAGACCGAGATGTTCAACAGGAGCTCAAGGAGGGCTATTAGGGACTTTTGGAATCCATGATTTCTTGCTGGTCTTCGTTGAAGCCTGAAGCGCCAACTCCATTATCAACCAATGACTCCGTGGAAGGCGGAGTAGTAATTCAGAAACCAGAATTGGAACAGAAACACAAAAGAATGGATTGATTATCTGAGATGACAGAGCTTGCAGCCTTTGAACAAACTACATATCCTGAGAATTTTAAACTGCAACTGACTAATTGTCCTAATTCATTCACTCCCACCCCAAACAAAAAAGCAAATCAAAGGAACATTACAAATTCTAGGATTCTTGTACCACACAAAAATCAAGCAGAGACAAACAAAGCCTTCCCTCCAAGATTCAATATAAGATTTGCTCATTACTCGTACGAAGTAAAAACCGTACGAATAACTGTCGGGGCCATTGCCGAGAGGTGAAAGTCCCAACAAATTTAGTCTAGTGTTCCTTGAGCGTCTTCTTTTCTTTCTCTGTGTTTGTCTTTTTAGTTTATCTAGCTGCAGTTCTTCCAGCCGCAAAACAAAGAGAGATGGGAATGAGGTGGGCAAACACTTACAGGGCGTCAGGGCTCAAGAAGTACTTCGCAATGACACCTTGTCTGGCGGATCTCCTTCTCGTCGCCTTCGTTCTCACTGTGCTCCTCCTGTTCCAAATCGATTCTGTATTCCTCCGCGTTTGAGTTCCATGGCGGCGGGCAGCAGGAGAAAACTTTAGGGTTTGCGTTGCAGAGAGAAGAAGGGGGTTATGGAGAGGGAAGAGAGGAAAGCAAAGAGGATGCTGTAATTCATGGTGGGTGGGGAAGAAGATGAAACTGAAGTGTAAGCGAGAGCTCAATGGTGAGGAAATTGGGGAATGGGCGCCAAGCTTTGCCTCGGTGAAAATTGTTAGAGAAGAAAGCGGAGACCGCACTGATTCCGAGGCCAGAGGACAGAGGATGTGACCACAGGGAACATGCGGCGTATCATGTTGAAGGAGCTAGCGAGTTCAAGAAGCAACCCGCAGAGGCGGACTGACGAAAAGGAGGTGCTTGTCCCGGGAATTGGGGGAAAGGACGTTGAGTTGAGAGCTGCTATGTGCGAAAGATCTGCCGTGGCGGAGGCGAGGGAAAAGGGGAGTGAAGCCGAGTAGCCTTCCCATCAGAAAGATGAGCCATTTGAGAATTGGAAAGAAAAGGAAGTTAGGAAACGACAAAATAATGTATAGTAGCATTGCATTCTTGGCCAATAAAGTGTACCCACTTTTTATGTTTTAAAGAATGGATAGCAGCAGGCAGCCCTTTGACTTACAGGGTTATAGTGCTGTTGCTGCTACTAGTACGAGAACATGAACATTTTAATTTTTGCAAGTCGAAAGAATAACAGAGAGAAATAGGAGGAAGGGAAGGTGCCAAGTGGATATTGATGGCAGAAGCATGCATGGCTCCTCGCACGCCATCCACCAAGCCCCACCAAAACTGCGTTGATTAGCTCTTGCAAATGGCATACAGGGAGCCAGGCACGCCCACAACTTACCACCATCGCCATGACCAGACCACCTAGCCAACCTATGGAAAGCTAGCAGAAAGTTGAACCCTTTTGCTTTTGGGGATAACATTAGCAATGAGAGAAAGGGAATTGATGAGTACATAAAGAGGACGAGAGGTTGAAGAAAGGAAGTGTGGGGTTATTTGGCTTGAAGGCCAATACTCGTTGCTCTCAAGTGGAGCTGAGTGTCGACTCTTGATTCGCCTTTCGGCCAGGTTTTGAGTTGGCCAATTTGGCACGTAGTAGAGGCAAAGCAAGAAGAGGAAGGAAACAAGAAAGCTACACCGCACGACCTGCACAAGGGTGCGTGTGTGGCGATATGGTGTTGTTGTGGTTCTTCTTCTTCTTTCTTTATGAGAGCTTGCAAACTGAAAGAGAGTGATGGTGAAGAGTCGAGGGGGAGATATTTAGCGAGGGACTTTAAGATATCCTTTTCCCGTTTCTTGTTTTTTCTTTTCTTGTTCTTTTGACTCTACTTTTTGGGCTTGAATTCACGTCAGAAAGCATAGCGAGAAAGGGTGTTGTGTTTTTTTTTCCTGCTCTTTCTGAAACGGATTTGTCTGCAAGTG